CCCCAAAACCCCAAAACCCCAAAACCCCAAAACCCCTGTTTCAATGAATTTAATTGGATTATTTATAAAATTTAACACTCTAATTCAATGATAAAAGGGAAGGTTTCTCCTGAAGAAATAAAGAAGATGCAAAGCGATCCTGAAATGATCAGGAATATCTGCATCCTTGCCCATGTTGATCATGGGAAGACAACGCTCTCTGACTCTTTAATATCGAGTAACCATATTATTAGTCAGAAGTTAGCAGGGAAGTTGAAATACTTGGACTCAAGAGATGATGAACAGCAAAGACAGATTACTATGAAAGCTTCCTCTATTACTTTATTCCATCAGAAAGTTCAGAGGATTAAGAAGGAAGAGAGAGAAGCAGGAGTAGTCCCTCAAACTAAACTGTTTAAAATTAATCTGATGGACTCTCCAGGACATGTTGATTTCACAAATGAAGTCTCTTCAGCTCTGAGACTCTCGGATGGGGCTCTCATTCTTATAGACTGAGTTGAGGGAGTTTCACCTCAGTCTTTGACTGTGTTGAGACAAGCATGGGATGAAAAGATTAGGACATGTTTGGTCTTGAATAAACTTGATAGGCTTATTGTTGAGAGAAATATGGATGCAGATGATATTTTCCAACACTGACAATGTATCATTGAGCAAGTCAATGCTGTCATTAGTTCATTCATTAGTGAGACAAATATGCAGAAATATATTAAATCAGCAGAAGAAAATAAGGAAGAAGGGTTATCTGATGAAGAAAATGATGAAAATAAATTCTTCTACTCCCCAGAAAAAGGAAATGTTGCTTTTACCAGTGCAGTTGATGGGTGGGGATTCACAGTTCCAAGCTTTGCTTATCTCTTAGCAAAGAAGCTTGGTGCTCACCCAAAGAAGCTTAGGAATTACTTATGGGGTGAGTTCTACCTCTCAAAGGGAAAAATTACTAGAAAAATGCCAACCAAAAACTCTAAGGTTTTAGCCACTCAGTTTATTTTTCAGCCAATAGTAGCAGAGTATCGTAAAGAGTTTGATATAATCGATGAGTATGACAGTTCAGCAGTCTCTAAAGCTATCGAAAAGATATCTCAAGTCTTGAATAAAAGAATTCCATTAGATAAGGGAATATTTGACATGGTTGTAAACAGACTTCCATCTCCAAAGTCTCAACAGAAAGAAAGACTTGAAGTATTTTGTCCAGCATTAGCAGACATTTCTGATGATATCTCCTCCAAACCCCTTGATATGAGTGAGGAGGAGTTCAAGACTCTCACCCAAATTAAAGAAGGGATCGAGAATTGTGATAATTCGGAAGAAAGCCCTTTGATCATCTATGTCTCCAAAATGCAGCCAATAGATACCAAAGCATATGCTGTTGCTACTAAGAATCCAAGTTTGAACCAAGGAGAGAGTACTAGGCTAATCGCCTTTGGTAGAGTCTTCTCTGGAAAAATAGAAAGAGGAAAAGAGTACTACATCTTCGGAGCCACCCATTCCAAAGAGAGGAAGGATGTGATAAAGATGAGGATAAATGATATTTTCATCCTTATGGGAGGCAATAGCTTAAAGCAGGTGAAAGAGATGAATGCAGGCAATATTGTAGGAATTGGTGGTCTTGATAATGCCATCCTGAAGATGGGAACTATCTCTTCTCATCCAGATTGCCCTTCTTTCACTCCAGCAAAGCTCTTTGGAACTGGCTTGATCAAAGTCTCAATCCAACCAACAAGATTATCGGATATGCCTATATTGATTGAAGGGTTAAGAAAGTTAGATAAAGCAGACCCAAGTGTGAGCTATTTCTTGAATGAAAAGGGTGAATATATCCTCCAAACATGAGGTCAAATTCATCTTGAAAGGTGCATCAAAGACCTTAAAGATGACTTTGCTCAGATAGATATAGAAATCTCTGAGCCTATTATCACATTTAAGGAGACTCCTACTCTAAAGGTCCTCAGAAGAGAGTCAGACTTTAATCACATTGTTGGAGAAGGAGATTGGTTCGAACAAGACGAGGAAGAAATTGAGCGAAAAGCTAATGAGATTATAGAAAAGCAAAAGAACGCAAAACTCAAAGGCAAAAGAAAACACAAAGATTCTTCAGACGAAGAAGAAGAAAAAGAAGGTGAAGGTGATGAAGGAGACGAAGAAGAGGAAAAGGAAGAAGAGCTCAAGTTTATTTATGAAGAAGAAAAACTAGACCAAACCGATATGTAACTTTTTCAAACTCATCCTTTTAGGTATATCGAAAGAGCAATGTGTATGAAAAATCCAGAGCTCAGGAATAATCTGTACAAGACCAGAGGATGGGTTATTGGTTATACTCCAAACCGAAAATTGAGAGTGAGGATTAGGACAGTTGGCTTACCTTTTGAATTGACAAAGTTCTTAGAAAATAACGAGACAAGTATTAAACTGATGAATCACCTAATTTCAACAGAGACCAAGAAGAACCAAAATAGCACTATTGAAGAGGAACTTAAACTCGCTAATGAATTCTTGTCTGAATTTAAACAAAACCTAGTTGACAATGAATGATACAATAAGCTAACCGAATTAATCAAGAGATACCTAGTATGCTTTGGCCCTAAAAGATGTGGGCCAAACATCTTGATCAATCAGATCATCTCTGAAGAAGAATCTTTGTTCAGCCGCTTCGAGAAATTAAAACAAAAGTTTTATTTCGAGGAGGAAAAGAAAGAAGTACCAGAGGAATCGTCAAAAGAGGCAAGTGAAGATGCTCAAACGAATGAGGAAGAGAAGGTCGATGCAAGGTATGTTTTCCCATTAAGTCATTAACCATTTATAGTGATACCTCTAAACCCCATGCTAAGCTTAACCATTACCAAAGAAAGCGATTGAATAAAATGAGGAAATTAGATGCAGTCAAGAAATGGTTTAAGATAAATGAAAAGGAAATCCAGGGAGCCATCACCGCTGGGTTTGAATATGCCACCAATAATGGACCCATGTTTGGAGAAGCCATCCTTGGCGCTTGATATGTCATTGATGAGGTGGAGGTAGTTGACCCTGCGGCTAGAGATTTCTTAACAGCTCATAAAACTCAGTTTGAAGATGAATTCCTTGGGATACAAAAACCTTTGGAAACAACTCCTGAGCCCGAGGAAGATTCAAAAGAGGAAACTAAGTCTGCAGTTGATGATTCTTCTAATAAAGAACAACAGAAATCAGTTGGGTCATATTCTGATACTTATGGCCCTATCCCTGGTCAGCTAATGAGCTCAGTCTCAAAACTATGTAGGAAAGGCTTCCTGAATGCAGAGCCAAGAGTCGTTGAAGGAATATATAAATGAGAAGTGCAAGTAAGCTCAGAAAATTTGGGCAAGATTTATTCTGTGATTGGCAAAAACCGTGCTAAGACTCTAGCTGAAGAACTCCAGGAAAACTCAGAGATGTTTCTGCTAAAAATCCTTGTTCCTGTCTATGAAAGTTTCAACTTCTCTAATGAGATTAGAGATAGGGAGTGAGGTATTCCACATCCCCAACTTATTTTCTATGGTTGGGAAGTAAATCCAATGGATCCATTCCATGTTAGTATGACTGATGATGAGATCGAGGAATATGGAGACCAAGAACTACCTCCTAACCAAATTAAGATCATTATTGACCAAATCAGAAGGAGGAGAGGACTTGCTATTGAGAAGAAATTAGTTGAAGATGGGTCAAAGCAAGTTACTTTATCTAGGAAGAAGTAATTACTTAGTTCAAACTATCAATAAGCATGTTAAAAATGGGGTTTTGGGGTTTTGGGGTTTTGGGGTTTTGGGG